TTCCTTCCTGACCCCAAATAGGGCAATCAGCTAAACCCTGAGCATGTGGGCAAGACTCACCAGCCAGACACCCAGAAAGTTCCCTATAGCAACTCCTATCATCCCTCCATTGACCTATTTCCAACTGATAATGAATGGTCAATTAGTTACCAAGATCATGTTATTTCATCCAACCATCCCCTTATCATAGAATCATAGAACTGGAAGAGACCTCAGAAGGTCATCAAGTCCAGCCCCCCGCTCTAGGCAGGGCCAATCCCATCTAAATCAACCTGGCCAGGGCTTTGTCAAGCCGAGACTTAAACACCTCTAGGGATGGAGACTCCACTACCTCCCTAGGAAACCCATTCCAATGCTTCACTACCCTCCTAGTAAAATAGTTTTTCCTAATATCCAATCTGGCCCTCTCCCACCACAACTTGAGACCATTGCTCCTTGTTCTGCCATCTGTCACTACTGAGAACAGCCTCTCTCCATCCTCTTTGGAACCTCCCTTCAGGAAATTGAAGGCTGCTATCAAGTCCCCCCTCACTCTTCGCTTCTGCAGACTAAACAGACCCAAGTCCCTCAGCCTCTCCTCGTAGGTCATATGCTCCAGACCCCTAATCATTTTGGTTGCCCTCCGCTGGACCCTCTCCAATGCATCCGCATCCTTTTTGTAGTGGGGGGCCCAGAACTGGACACAATACTCCAGATGTGGCCTCACCAAAGCCGAATAAAGGGGAATAATGACATCTCTGGATCTGCTGGCAATGCTCCTCTTAATGCATCCTAATATGCCATTAGCCTTCTTGGCTGCAAGGGCACACTGTTGACTCATATCTAGCTTCTCATCCACTGTAACCCCCAGGTCCTTTTCTGCAGAACTCCTACTTAACTGGTTGGTCCCCAGCCTGTAACTATGCTTGGGATTCTTCCGCCCCAAGTGCAGGACTCTACACTTGTCTTTGTTGAATCTCATGAGATTTCTAGTGGCCCAATCCTCCAATTTGTCTAAGTCACTCTGGACCCTATCTCTGCCCTTAAGCGTATCTACCTCTCCCCCTATCTTAGTGTCATCTGCAAACTTGCTGAGGGTGCAATCTATCCCCTCATCCAGGTCATTAATAAAGATATTGAACAAAACCAGTCTAGAACCGAACCTTGGGGCACTCCACTAGAAACCGACCGCCATCCTGACATCGAACCGTTGATCACTACCCGCTGGGCCCGGCCTTCTAGCCATCTTTCTATCCATCTTACCGTCCATTGGTGTGTTGGTGTTTGCGAAAAGGCTTTAGAAGGCTCCATAATTGTTGGATTAATGGGCAACACTATCTTGGATGACGTGACTGACTGTAAAATGTTGGTAAATTCGTGTTGATTATTGGTTACCTCCTTCAGTGGGACGTTCAGTTCTGTGGAGAAGCACTTGAACAAATCCTGAAAATGAGAGAAGTCATCAGCAGTAGTTGGAGGAGAGGGCATGATGGCTTCATCCGGTGACAAGGATTCATTAGTATCTGGAGATGTATCAGGGGATGGATCAGTGTGAAGTCCTCAGCAGCTTGTTGACATTGTAGGGAAGGTGACTGTGGTGGAGGAGACTGTTGAGGCACAGTATGGAACTTCTTTGCATGATGGTATGTATGATGTGACTGCCAGGGTCTCCAATATTGCCAGTGTGAATAAGGCATTGGAGGTGGCATCCAAGGGTTACCATACTATGGTGGTATGTCCCTGTATTTAGCGTATGGAAGTTGGGTTCTGGCAGAATAAACAGAGTGGTCTGTCACAGGCTAGTTGTGCAGGGAAAACACAACATCCACATCCTCATCCGAATCACTAGAGAATCTCTATGGAGAGAAAGTTGGTTGTGGTGCCAGAATACCTAGGGAGCAATCAGTGCCAAGAAAAGTCTAATTAAAGTGGATGATACCATTAGGTCTGCATGTTGTGGGAACTTTTGAGCAGGAGTTGACAGTGCTGTAGTTGGCTGCGCCAAGGCAGTTTGTGGTGCCATATGGGTTCTTGGTACCGAGTGCACCAGAGATGTTGTCGATGCCATTGTGGTACTAGCTGATGGCAAGGAGGTGGTAATTGGCACTGGGGTTGGGTGAGGTGCTGGCCCAATGAGGCAGGCAACTTGAACCCTGTAGCCTTGTTGAGGGATTTTACAGAACCCGCTCTCATTTCAGTGCCAGTTGCGCCAGATACACCCAATGCATCATAAGTGCTAAGGCGTGGAGGCGTTCCTGCTTTCAGCACATAGGAGCTGGTGAGCACCTTTTGGGTGCCGTAGCTTCATGAAGTAAAGAAGAAGCCTGTTTTTTCATGGGCTTTTTGTCTTTTCATGCATGTTGGTACTCAGAATTTTGGCCTGGGTCTGATGCCGAGTGTAGAGATTTTTCTAAAAGTATAAGCTTCAATCATAGGTCTCTGTCCCAGAGAGCACTAGATTTCAATGGATACATTGTGAGTGTCCGTCAGACAAAGGAATGGGGTTGTTGCAGAAGGATCAGCATTTAATTCCCAGTGAGCAGGGCATAATACTAACCATCTAACTATTTAACAAGAATGGAAAAATAGAGAAAGGTAGTGTTTTTTAACGATGAACTATTCACAACTAACTGTAAGCTAACTAATTAACAGGTAAAAACAGGGTTGAAAGGATTACTTATCTAAGAACGAGGAATGAAGTGAGGAACACTGCTGAACTCCTTCTCTAGCCAGAGAGAGTAGAAAAGGAATTGAAGGGGGATGGAAAAGGAACTGAAGGGGGGTGCACGCACAACGCCTGCGCACTAAGAACATGCAGCTAGAGGCATGCGCAGCCCCAGAGACACTGCTCTGAAGACTCCAATACCTGGTGCAGGAGCGGGACACCGACCTCATGTGGAGCAATCTATGGGGACATCTCTGGAAGAAGAACTTAAAGCTATTAAGTAACACAGTTTGTTAAAACAAAACCAAAAAAACCCCTCCTACACAAGGTAAAAGCTCTGTTATTTGGTACTCAATTAATCAGCATTTCTGATATCTCCCCATACAAATTTTCAATTTGGTAACCAGGACTAGTATACTGTCCAGCATGTTATGCAATTGCATATTCTGCGCTCTACTTTTATGCTAAAGAGACAGATGACAAGTAAGCAAGCTAAAATCAGGGAATACATATATTTTTGATGATTTCGGTGTACACCATGTGCTGTCAATAGTGATATGTTGTGTCATAAGATAATCTAATGTTTGGAAAACTTTTCCTGTATACACCTAAGTGCTTCAAGAAAGCAACTACACTGCAGTGCACTGCTACTAATGGATTGGTGAGTATGTGTACACTATTGTATATTTCATGCATTGTATTGTATTCTAATTCTTTGAAAATTTGTATTCCATCGGTAAATTATAGCTCTCAGATAATCAGATCACTCAATTCAACAAAACCCTCCATTCCCCCAATAAGCTGGGTACCCGAGCTTTGACTGTAGTAAGATTGTTACCATTAATTAAAAGTCAATGTTCAAGTAAGGAAACTATAGTTAGAAAAATGTATATAGAGATTTTAATGAATGTATTAGTATTAATTATAAGACTGTAATTATATGCATATATTTAGATATCCAAGACCACTGGCAGATTCCCAAGTACTGTATCACTACTGTGCATTGTTTTAAATCTAGATATGAAAATTCATATTGGACATTCCGGTGACTATTTTATAACTCTTAGCAATCCTTTCTTAGAATTGAATTTTCTCATTAGTACATCCACGATACTATTCCATTGATACATTTAGCTCTATAGATGCATACCCTAATGTATTTTTAACTGTCTATAGATACTAAGCAATATATTTTGAACTGATTAGAGTTTGATTTCTGTTACAAATAAAACCAATGAATAAATTCAATTAATACAACTAGTTTCAAATAACTATGTTATCAACAGAAATGTATGATAACGTGTACATAGTATAATAGGAGGCACTGTGTTCTCATGCAGAGCAGAACACTGAGAATCTGGAATTCTAAGTTCTCCCCCTCACTTTGTCATTATCTTACTATGGGCACAAGTCACCACCCTTTCCCTGAGTTTCCCGATATATAAAACTGAGTTAACAGCAATACTTGCAAAACACCTGAGACTTTTAAAATTAAAAGCATTATACTTTTCATCATGTTATTAATATAAATATTTGAGTTCAAATTATTATGCCTGTCTTGCTCTTAGAGAGACTAAAATCCCTATTTTTATTTGAGTATAAACTTCTTTCACATTCAGCTCATAGTTGCTTTATTAACTATTTAAAAGATTTTATTTAAACATTTTGGGATCAATTAATTAAAGGAAGTACAAACATGTATGCACACAAAACCCAAAAGCTTTCAGAAAGTTACATCTTACCCTTTAAAGTGATGGAATCATATACCAGTTGAGCTCTGCTTTCAAAGTATAATACATTAAAATGCTTAGCACTTATACAGTGTTTTTGGTCTGTTTAGGATATCAGCAGAACTCTTGAATGAGTTTTTTCATTTCACAATAGGAGTGCACCCTATTAGGTATACTTTCTTTCTAAGATTGTGATTTACAGAACTCTGTTCAGTGTAGTCCTAGATACGTAGTTCTAAAAGAAAATCTGCCAGGACCTGTTCTATCCTTGATGGAAATATCTAGCTCTGATTAGCAACAAAGAAAGATTTGGGAGAACAGAAAGATTTGAGAGAACATTAGTCCCTTTCATCAAATCTTTGTTATAATTTCACCAATTGATCCTCCCCTTTAAATGTCAAAGTAGGCAAAATTGATTGTGACTCCAGGAATTTAACATTTAGGGAAAGTGATTTGAACAGTCTGAGGGCTACATTTGTGTTTGGTTCCCGTCTCATGGTGTCTCTACTTTTATGAAAGTCAAGTGTTTGTTTAATATGCTAGCTAAGAATACAGAAGCAGAGAAAGTTTGATCCATAGTTATACTTTTAAATCATAGTCTGTGCTGTTTAATATTTTGAGCTTACCTATGCACACTAGATCCATAAAACCATACATTCCATAGCAGATTTGAAAAAGGATGTCCTTTCTTTGCCATACTGCATAGGGGCTGAAGGCTGACCAGAGAAGCCAAGTCACACTTGCTACTAAGAACAGAGATCCTAGGATTACAGCAATCATCTGCACTTTCTCAACCAGTGTTATAGTAATGCTTTGCCACTAGAAGAGAAACAAAGTAGTGTAAGATAAAATGTTATTTTTGCAAACTTTACATTCAACTCCTGTTTTCTCCTGAAACTAGAAATCATTTACATATTCATATAAATCAACATTGCTAATATTCTTGACACCACAGTTTATGCAGGAAAGAGACTAGTAGTATAGAAACTGGTTATGTTAAGGTTTATTTTAATGTCATCCGTATCATCATCTAGAAATGTACTTTAGAAGATTTACATTTATTTCGATCCTACTATGAATACATAGGACAAAAATATTCAACCTCAGAAAATCCAGCTTGCCTTTTGCATTTATGTCACAAGTACCATCAAGACACTATGGGAAGGACAATATCAAAACCTCATGAAAAAGACCAACAAAAGACTTTGTAGTTTCATATTAGTTTTATACAGAATAGAAATCAAAGTAAGTTTCCTTCAACTAAGGTACTGTACATATACAATACAATTTACCAGTATTTAAAATCTGTAGAACTATATTTGGATCTTATTAGGGCTATGTATTCAATTGAAAAACCATTTCATACTTCTCAGCTACAGCCATAGAGTGCTTTTAACAATTTTCTATTCTATAACGCTATCAGTAACCAACATTTCTGTTCTTCTCTTCACATTTACCAAAGTGAGTCAGAACCAGAATAATTGTGTTTTTGCTAAATATTAGAAATCAAAACAACACTCTCAAATGTAATAAAAATTATTTTTGTGAGTCACATAATTGTTCAGAATAAATATAATTTTTCAAACATATTTAGAAAAAATTAGTCATAAATTGATAAACAGAAAAACCTTCCCAGTACAATTTTGGCAAGTTTAAGGTTCCTTTGTAAATAAAGGTATGGTCATATGAACTTGTCTTTCATTTTTCTTTTTGTTATGTTTAAAAGAAAATGAATTACATGTTTTAAGTTTTCTTTGATATCATCATTAAAGGTTTTAACTTTGGAAGGAAGAGGAAATGCAAATGTTTGGTTTGGGACAAATATTACAGGACTCTAATCCTCCTCCTGAATTACTGAGGGACTTCGTCAAGGGTTCCCATTTGGATTAAGAATGACATTCATAACTGGGAAAGGGGAAACAACTGCTTTTTATAAACAAGTGGTAATTTACCAACATCATTTGATAATTGGCCATCTTCATTTCCAGGATGTCTGGTACTTATTTATCTACTCTTTGATGTTGAAAGCAGAAATGTAAGGATGAGATACAAATCCTTGGACAGGTCTTAGTTCCCGAGATGCCAGAATTTCTGCCAGTGGACATGCGCAATATCACCGAAAGTCCTAATACTGCTAAAATGCTCAGCATTCCAGCTCAGGTCTAATCCCTGCTAATTCACAAATTAGATATATCTGTAGGATCTGATCTGGTTGCCATACTCTTAGCATGCCAAAGAAAGGCGGAGTAAAGAGAGAGCAAGTCCCATTATCTACAGGCAGGAGAGCTGGGGCAGGCCAGGGCTGCCATGCCTCAGCCTGGCCTTCTCTAGTGTCCAGGGGAGAACCAGGGCTGCCTACCCCCAGAGAGGGGGGTTGGTGAGTGTAGCAAGCAGGGGGCACAGCCCCATTGTATATGTATATGTATACAGGTTACATCTCTAAAATCTGAGATTCTCTGGTCTGGCAACATCTGTGGTCCAGCATGACCATGGATGTTCTAGGATCAGAAATTCCTGGTGCAATGCAGGGAGATGGGGGCAGGAGTCAGTGGGCAGCTTAGGTGGACTGCGAGGGAGCCCCGGGAGTCAATGTATGGCTCAGTTGCACAGTGGAGGGGCAGCTAGGAGTGAGCACTCAGCTAAATTGGGCTGTGAAGGGGGGCAGGAGCTGGTGCACAGCTCATCTGGGCTGCAGGGGAGAAGGATGGGCAGGGAGCCAGCAAGTGGCTCAGCTGGGCTGTGGTGAGGGGGGTTGCCAAGAGCTGGTGCACAGATTAGCTGCACTGGGGAGTTGCCAGGAGTTGGCACATGGCTCAGCTGAGCTGCAGGGGAAGCTAGGAAGCCCATGGGGCAGGGAGAGTGGTAGGGGGCCTAAAATAATGTCCCCTGGTCTAGAAAAATCCTTCATCCGGGACCAATCAGGTCCTGAGGGTGCCAGACCAGGGCGGTCCAACCTGTACAAGAGTTGCTATATCGTCTCAGCTGAATGACTCATCTAACCGTGTCATGACAATGGCCCATACCTAGCCTTCAGAGAGAGTGTGCTAAACAGGGCAGTTGGAGTGATCCATCCCTGTCTTCCCCTTTCAGCTTTTGGCAATCAAAGGTTTAGTGTTGCAGTGAACATGGGGTTACATCTCTAACCATCTTGACTAACAGCCATTGATGGAACTATCCGTTCTTTTCCAAGTGTCCTTTAAACAGGAATGCACAGAAATTTTTTTACAAGTTTCTCAGTTGTCACAACAGGTACTGAATAGACAGAAGAAAAGAAGCAAAACACCAAAACCATGTTGTAAAACTCTCGGTCTTTACTCAGGACATACAACTTGAATCCCCAAGAAATATTCTGGCCCTGATTCTTCTGAGTTATCGCTTTTTAAATCAGGAGTGGTATTTCTGAAGTAAGTGCAATTAATCTGGTATGAAACAAGTGTAAAAGTGAGCTTCATTATCACTGTCTTTTGCTCTGTAGGGACACCTTACCATATCTGGCACACTCTTACCATTCTTTAAATGTGTCAATAAAATAGTGAACAAAAGAGAAGCAGTTGACATATATTTGATCTTTCAACAAGCCTTTGAAAAGTATTTCACATGAAATCTCTGAGGTGAGAGAAAAAAATACTTCCATGGATCAGACATTGGCTAAGACAAAAATGAAGGATTAGAATAAACAGTCAATTTTCTTCCTGGCAAAAGATTAATAATAGTACGTCTCAAGATTTCATACAAAGCTAAGTGGTATTCCATATATATATTATCTAGAGGTGAGCAGTAAAGTGGTACATTTTTCAGGGGACAGCAAGTATTTCCTCAGGACTGGAAAAGACTAAATAAACTTGGAGGGACTTAAGCAAGCTAGATGAATGGAAGATGAACTCCAATGTTGACACATGCAAAATAATCCACCTGGGAAAGAATAACTTAATCTACTCAGGGTATGTCTACACTACAGCGCTATTTCGAATGAATTTATTTAAAATTAGTTAATTCAAAATAAGCTAATTCGAAATAACGCATCTAGACACAAAAACTAATTCGAAATAGCATTTTTCTAATTTGGAATAGAGTGTCCACATTGAGTAGACCCTGAATCGAAGATAAGGCTGGCTGGAACCAGTGATAGCAGGGCATCAGGGCTGGACTTAGTGTGTGGGGCTGCTGCCTCAGGCTATCCGAGGTCTGTGCTTAAGGGGATCCGACCCCCCATCCTGGACAGTTCTCAGGTTTCTCTGCTTGCTGGTCTACCTCGCTGAGGGACAGCAAAGCATTTGTGTCTCGGAGTGCTCTGCTTACCCTCACTCAGGACACCACGGCACTCTGCAACATGGAACCAGACCTGCCCCATGGGACTCTGCTGCGTCTCATGGACACATTGCCAGTGGCCTGGCTGCACTGGCTGCCATCCGAGAGGACCATCATGGGGATGTCAAAGTCCAGGGGGTCTGCGGGGGAGCTTCCACCCTGAGGAGCACTAACAGTCTGCCCCACTGTGGGCTTGTGCCCCATTCCTCCCTCTCGTCCTTCCACTTACCCTTCCCTAGCCCCCCCTTCCTGATGTCAAATAAAAGACACGTATTTTCAAAAATATAAACTGTCTTTATTTAACACAACTGGGGTGGGGGAATGAAACTCTGGGGAGACAGGGGAAAGGAGGCGGGAGAGGTCAGGAGAGAGCGAGGGAAGGGGGGAAACTGGGAGGAGGGAACTGGAAGGGGGAAACAAGGGGAAGAAGGGGGAGGGGAAGCTCAGCACTCAGGGTGGGGGGTCTCACCAGGCCAACCGTCTCCCAGCACAGCGAGGGAGGGGGCCTTGGCTTCCCCGGGGGGATGGAGAGCAGGGTGCGGAGGTTGATGTGGGGGGTGTGGACATTGAAGAGGAGGGTGTGGAGGTTGTGGAGGAAGAGGTGGGAAGGGGGGCAAGAGTGGGAGGAGGAACAGTAGTTGGGGAGGCAGCAGGCGCAGGACCAGCATGTGCTGCAGCAGGGCCTGCAGGTTTGCGTTCATTGTTTGGTCCTCAGCAAGCTGCTCCCGGAGCAGCTGCAGGTCTTCCAGCATCCAGGCCTGGATGGCGTGGTGCCGGGCTCGCAGGGCCCCCAAGTGCTGGTCCCTGTACTCCTGCCATGTGCTGGTGGTCCAGAGAAGGCCATGGGTGCAGGAGCATGTCCCGGGCAGGGTGATGCACCCTGCACGAGCACCTGGTGCAGCTGTAGAGAAAGAAGAGAAGTGGTCAGTTCTCCCTGGGGACACAGTGGATGATGCCCAGTTCCCCTCCCCCCACCCAACGTGAGGGCGACCGTACCCTGCACCATCAGAGCTGCTGTGCTTGCACAGAGGCAATGGTCAGGATGTCTGGCTGTCCCCGGGACTGGGAGCTTCCCCAAGACTGCACCCATGACCCTGTGCTGTGTATAGTGTGGCTGGGGGCGGGGGGGGGGGGGGCGTGTGAAGGGAGAGCGTCCTGCTGGGTCCTGCCCCGGGGTCAGGAGCGTGTCAGGTCTCTTCACACATGCATGTGCCTATGGGGCCACGGCCCCTGGGTGTCATGTAGCTGGAGCAACCTGCCCGAAGGTGGCATGGCACATGTTCGCACATGCACAGGTGGCATTGTGATCTGTGGGAGGCATGGCCGACACGCGTGGTCCCTGGTGTCCCTCTCCGCCTCCCCCCTGGGTAGGGGACAGTGGTGGCACTTACCTGGTATGGCCTCCTGGACGACCTTGCCGACTCGGTGCCAGAACAGCTGGCGGTGGCCCCTCTGGTGTGCCCGGGTGAGGGCCCTCCGGTCCCAGCCCGCTGCCTCCCGGGCTGGCGCAG